ACTACAGGCACTTCCAGGAGTTTACCAGACCCTAGTCCCCTAAATGGCGATGGACATCCTTATGATCTGCATGAGGACATCCAGTGTCAGTTAAATTCCCTTAGGAAAACGTTGAACCATTAGGTCCCCCTCACTGGATGATGTCGGAGGAGGTGGAGCGCCGATCCAGTGCCCATGGATATCAGCGCTAGAATCAGGTGAGTGTATAAGGGTTTTTTAACCCTTTTATGGCCACGGTGAGGAGGGGTGAAGGGGGAGGGGGGACCAGAGGGCACTATACTGTTAGGAATACAACTTTGTATAAATCCCTTAAATAAGAAAGTTTGTTTTTGTTTTTTATTCATTTTCAAATTTGAACACTGAGAAATCCAAGGGCACGACATATCACAGTCATTATACAGTCACAGAGGAGGGGAAAGGTGACACTTTATACCAGGGATTTTAAACACCCCTTGGAACATATTTTGATACAAAGCATTGGGGACTTTGGTTTGTTCTTTTACTGGAAATGTTCCAAAGCCACAACTCAGTATTCTGAATCTCTCATTCCCCACACATAGGGGAGGGTATAGAGCGACTATCTCCTGGTTAATAGTGTGCCCTGGGGCCATCACAGAGTGCTCTGTTTGTCTATATATGTCAGAGAGGGCCAGGTAGATTGGGGGCCTTTACCTCCCAGTTAAAAGTCACTGCAGTTTATTCACTAAACACCAAATTCTAGTGAGCGGAAAACCAATCAGAAAAACAGTTCCCCCAATGATACCTTAACTTAAACCAACACCCATTATCTTATTTCCAGTAAATGGTGTCTATTGTGGACTTAGGAAGACGAGGAAGTGTTTCACTATGATTAGAATGAATGACAATTCTCTGGAATCCTCTAGTGGGACCTGTCACGATACACACCTCGCATCCCCTGCCACACAAGGTAATGGGGGAGACTAGGACACATACTAACTAACCTTAGTAACAGGGGGTATGTATAAACCCACTCACCCAGTTACTTTAACACCCAACTGTACAAGGGTTGCAACAATGGGAATAGCTTGGGGGACTCTCATGGTGAATCGGGGTTCATGGGATCCCCCTAACCTATTTTATAATTTTATTTAATCCAAACATTGGCAATAAGATAGGTCCAGCCTGTAAGTTTTGTCCAAATAGATATAGGGTACCAGAACCTGACTTTTAAATTTAATCCCCAATGCTATAGCCTGAGATAAAGGAAGGACAGGGCTCGGCCCAGTTAAAATGTTATCCATTGCAGAGGGATAAGGACAAATAGGTAACTATAAAGCATTTTCTCCATTAAGATGGGATACCTACTAGACCCCCCTGTAATAAGGGAACCATTTAACAGGTATAGGTGTTGGGGGTCTGTTGGATCACTGATTTTATTATCTGGTCTCATCCTATAGCCCAGAGAATGGAAAAAGAGCTAGTAGGTAGTCACACACCTAGTTTAATAAATTAACATTATAGGCACCCAGACCACTTACTCTCATTGAAGTGGTCTGTGTGCACTGTCCTTGTCCCCTTAGACCTTCAATGTAAGGCCCCCCTCCCGCTGGGCTGAAGGGGTTAAAACCCCTTCGGACATTTACCTTAATCCAGCGCTGGGCTCTGGTGAGACAGCCACTAGAGGCTGGATTAACCCTGCAATGTAAACCTAGCAGTTTCTCTTAAACTGCTATGTTTTCACCTGCAGGGTTAAAACTAGGGGGACCTGGCACTCAGACCACTTCTTTGAGCTGAAGTGGTCTCGGTGCCTATAGTGGTCCTTTAAGAATCCGTAATACAGGTAATTCTAGTCCACTTCTTTCGCAAATTGCTGTTCTCCAGTTTACCACCAGAGGGCGTGGTACAGTTACAATTACTTAAAGATCTTGTTGCTTAGATTTTTCGTACTTTCTGAGCCGGAATAAAAACGGCACTGTCATAATTCCTCTTCTCTCCCTTTCTCAGGATCTGTTCTTCATTTCTTCCTGTCTGCTCTAGTTTTCTTTAAAACATAAGACAAAGTAGATAATGAAAAGAAGAGAACTATCTCTTGACCAAGTGGATGGTTGGAGAATGATTTAAAATGTA